GCTTCCCAAGCGGCGCACTTATCCAGTGCGCCACCGGGCCGGCCCTGCGGGTTCTAAGTTTTAAAAGCAGTGCCTGAGCCATGATTTGAATGACATCCAAGGTCTGCTGCTGCAAAGGGCCCTGTTCAAAGCTGGTGGGTTTTTTTAATCTCATTGACTAAGAGGGCCAAAAGAACACCCACATGGGGTACAGTACAGCTGTCTTCTGTACTCAGAGGCCTACCAGCTAGTGGACCTCCTTTTTGAGTGGGTGCCACCACAACCAACTTTTGCTTGATGGCATCTGGTATATTTCTTTGATTTTCTACCCAAGTACCCTTGGCATTCAGCCTGTAACAGACCATTGTTAGTCTCCATGCCCCAAAGGCTTTTTTTGACCAGCCAAATTGGGCTGGTAGATTGATTTTAACAGAGTGGTTCTTAACATTTTTATCAGTAGCAGGTTTTGAATTAACAAAGTAATGTCCTATTCTCCACTTAATATGAAGTACTGCTTTTGCTGAATAATCCACTGGGTCTTGGGTAGCTTAGGTGGCAGGCAGGAATGGATATACCCCATTTTTATGCCTCTGACTTTTAGCTGTCAGGGGGTATGCATACTCTTTCAGGCGGTGGTGATGTTCTGTGTCACAAGCAGCCAAAATGTCTGGGTGGCAGGCAGGAATTGGATATACCCCATTTTTATGCCTCTGACTTTTAGCTGTCTGGGGGTATGCATACTCTTTCAGGCGGTGGTGATGTTCTGTGTCACAAGCAGCCAAAATGTCTAGGGGTGGAAACCATTGTCACCAGCACCTGAAATGGCCCAAACTCACAAGCAGGTAAGCACCAAAAGCAGACAAGCTAGAGTATGCGGCCATTGGCCTCCGGTAGAAACCCTGAAATCTTGGCCCTAATCATAACTGCAAAAGTCAGAGACATTTGGAACTGCAATGTCCCTTTATCAAACAAACTCACCAACCAGGTTACATTAAGAGTTCCCTGGCCTTTCTCCAAACTGTCCTTTATATAGTGAATCTCCGTTTCTGCAAAGGCCCAAAATAAACACGTTGGTTTCCTCTCAGATGCTTCAGGGACCCTCTGAGTACCTTTCCCCTTCCTTCTTAGGTACCTCAGGGTCCTCTTTCTGAGCTCTCTGGCTCCAGGAATGAGGTGCTTATGTAAGTGTTCAACCACCAGGATTATGTGCTGTGCTCCTGTTTCCACATTCCTTCTCTTTGCCACAGTAGATACAGCCTGCTCACTAACATCTGCAGGGGGATGACCTATGTCTCACTTATCGCTCCTTTTTCTCCATAAAATACCCAACTACATGTCCAGCCCCTGCACCCCCAGGCTGACATCTCCACTCTGGGTCATGTACTGAGGGGTACCGCCCTCCCACTTCATCAATAAGCCATGATTCTTTTGCTTGCTGCTCTAATTTTATAAAGCAGATTCACTGTGCACTGGTTACCAACATGTCTTACTCTGGTGAGACAGAATACACTTGTACACAAGTTACATGAAGCAGATTATTATAGATAGGCAGCAAGGGACAACAGAAGCCTCAGAGTCATGTTAAGCCAGTCCCATGAAGCTTAGGAAAGCTGCCCACAGCAGATGGAACTCCACTAAGTGTCTCCACTACTTGCAAGACATCTGAGGAAACCTGGAAAGTAGCCTGCCCTGGGGTTTATACTCCAGGGACACAGGACATGTTAGGCTATCATGTGAAGGAAATCCTGTTTTAGGGGGGACTGAAACAGATCCAGTCAGTCCCTTATCTCAAGATGGTGTATTCCCAGCACTTTCCACAGTTCTTTTTGAGAACAAGTGAGAAAGAAGTGAGAAGTGAATTGGTGGAAGGCCACCTGGAGAACTTGTCTTGCAGGTGGCAGTCCAAATTACAATTCCATTCTCTCAGACTAAACCATAAACTACTCGTCTGTTTGACAAAGATTCCTTATGAGCAAACACTAGCCAGGCTCCTCTGAGACCTTTTTCTACTATGCCTAAACCTCTGCTTGTAACGATCTTAAAAAACACTAACATAGCTTCTAACAGCTATGTGGCTCAAAGCCATATTCCTAGGATGACCCTATCCCTCCTTAAAAGTACTGTCTGAAGAAACTCAAGGTTCCCAGAACTTGCTTGTTCCAGCCAACACTTGACAAGAGTCCCTATGTTCCAGTCTCTGTGACAGGGTAAGAGCCAGTTAAACCCAAATGGATTTCACATAGACCACACCCTGCCTTCCCATCTTATGGGTAATTGTTAAGTTCCCTGACTCTAGTGAGCCCCCACTTACCCCCTCTCCCTCCATTTCCTCATTCTCCCTTTAAAACATCTTCATCCTCATTCTCACTTTAAAACCTCTATACAAATTGAAGTCTAATTCAGTTCATGCTGTACTCCTTTCTCCTTACTGTAATTGTATATTACTGATTAAAATCTGTCTCTACTACCACTTTAATTAGTATTTAGCTTTATCTTTGACGTGTTCTGTATTTGCATAGTTTAGGAGTACTTAATTCTTTAGGCTGACTTCATCTACCAAATCCGGGGAATCCTTTCTCTAGCTCTCCCTTCTGATATTTCTCTCACTTCTGGAAGCTGGGATCATTATCTCAGACTCCATCCTTCAGTTTTCCAGGCCAGGAAGAGAGCAGGCTTTCTACCACAGTTTTAGCTGTCCTACACTGACTGCATCATGACTATAGCTAGTACTTAGGTCAAAGGTGCAAAAACATTAATCTTAATGTATGCTTGTCTCTTCCTCCAAACTTCATCTCCCTTCCAAAATATTCCTGCTTTTTCTTCTGTGCCAGAGCTCTTGGGTAGCTGTTTCTGGTATTTTGCCCAGAATCTATATTTATTATCTGTGGGAGTGTTGGCCTGTTAGATTCCACCACCATATTAGAAGAGGGATTTTCAAGTGTTTGCTTTGCATTTGCTGTTAGCTTACTTGAAATGCTTGTTTCTGGTATTTTGCCCAGAATCTATATTTATTATCTGTGGGAGTGTTGGCCTGTTAGATTCCACCATCATATTAGAAGAGGGATTTTCAAGTGTTTGCTTTGCATTTGCTGTTAGCTTACTTGAAATGCCAAGACAACAAGGAATCCTCTCTTCACAGACCAACTGCCAAGATTTGCATCTTGGCTCTGCCACTCACTAACTGTATTATCACTGTGAGCAAGTTTAACTTCTCTGCTTAATTCAGTTTCCTCAATTATATAATGCTGATAACAACAGTACTTACCTTACTGAGTTACTATGAGGATTAAATATGAAAATACATACAGATGAAAACAGTATCCGATATAGAGAAAGAGCTCGATAAATATTAACTCATATTACTGCAGATGTGTGAAATAAATGCCCCCAATTCCCGTAATGTCTTCCCTTTAACCAACAAACAACATTACTCACAAAAATTTAATGTATGTTTGAGGATTTTCAAAGTGCAGAATTTCAAAGTGCAAAAAGGTGGAAAGCACACAAGCAGAACATTTGTAGCAGATAAAAGAAAATTAGCACATATGGCAAAATATTCAACCTCACAAATTATTTTTAAAATGCTAGTTGAAGCAGCAATAAAGTACCATTTTTATAGCTATTAAATCTGAAATATTATGCTTAATAACTAGTATTGACGAGTTTGTGGTCAAACTGGTATACTACACTTTATTGGTGACTGGTGTATTATACTTCATTGGAACTGATCCAACTACTTAGGCAAACACTGTCTCTGTTATCTGTTATACTGGACTTTCTACAACAGCATTTACAGCTCTGTCTCCTTCCCCTGCCACAGTGAACAGAACTAATTCCAGATTCAATCCTTTCCAATGTGTCTCATAATATCATTTACTTGGGTGTTGTCTGACATTTCAGATAAGTTGGCAGAAAGAAAGATGAGAAATGTCACCCAAGGGTCAGAAAGTATGAGCACATATCAGGGAAAGTATAATAACACTAAGGAACCAAGACTCAAGGATATGTGGGGCCAAAATAATACATCCAAGATCAGATTACACCATGTCAGAGCTTTTTGGATTCAGAGTTTGGAGGCACTGTTCTGGTGATACACCCAGTGATACTAAGAAGTATACACAGTATTCTTATGTTGTCTGTTAGCTCCATCTTTCAAGTTCTAAAGGAATTTCACCCCTTTGAACTAGAAAGCAGAAGACACTAAGAATTACAATAACCATCAAACTTGTGAATTATTTTGGTAGAACAGATGGATCGATTTATTTACATATTTATCAGACTCAAGGAAAAAGATAAATTTGATTTAGTCTGCTGCCTCCTACATTCTCATTCACTAATAGGTTGTTATTGATTGGATTATAAAAACGCTGACAAAAATTTCTGAAAATATTAGGAGACCTCAGATAAGCTTTCAGCACAGAACATGAGACACAACTCCTCCCAAGCTTCTACTAAAATACTCCTAAATCTTTTAAAAAAACTTAAGGTTGTAGAGACCAATTATTATAGAAACATGATACCCAAACATCACTAAAATGAGAAATCTTTCAAGGTCTGTTTCCCACCTCAGTCTAAATCAGGGATCTGGCACTGTGTCAAGGAACTAGCCTTAAACAGCTTAGTTTGTACATAATTGCTTTCTTTGTGTTCCCTTTATTGTTGGTCCAGTTAGTTGCTTTGCAATTCTTCCTTACCTGAATGACTTTATTAGCAATAGAAAATACATTAATATTACCTCAGGAACTAAACTAATTAAAAGCTATCAGCTATATTTATACTACAATTTAATTTCATGTTTCATTCTAGTTTTGCTTTAACATACAGAATTTACCATTAACCAAGTATCTCAGGTTCCCTAATATATAAAAGACTTGCGTAAGAAAAAACATTTGATGATACACATAAAATCACGACCACAGTAATTGGATTATAGTTAACACTAATTAAGAGATGAAGAATCAAAGCTTATTTATGTGATTACAGAAAGGAAGAGAAAATAAGGGTTAGGTAACAAAATAACATTAATTTTTTTTATATAAACAAATTAGATCCCAAGTTCTTAAAAGTTTATCTTTAAAAAACAGGTCAGGGTAAAGGAGCAAATTTGCACTTTAAACTTCCACATGTGCTCCTCCTTTAGGTCCTTTTGCCTTGGATTTTGTTTCCTTTGAAATCTTTCCATTTTGACATTGAGTAAATCTGGCTACTGTAGAAACACCATCCACAAACTTGGTTTTGAAAAGAACATTTGCGTTGTTGAACATACCTTCTTTTAGGGACACCACAATGAACTTAAGGGAAAAAGAAAAAAGTGTAAGAAAAATTTCCTGTAATATTCTTAAAGGAATTCACTCCTTTATACTGTGAATAAGAATTATTTGAAGATCATTTTGATTTTATTTCTTTAAATACTTGACTCCAAGCAAGTGCACATCCTCAAAATTAAGCACCTAAATGAATGTTAGCTTTCCATACTTGGTTTTAGAAGTCTCTTAATTTTACCTTGAATGCTTCATTACCCAAGTTTACTACTTCCTGATGGTTGACAGCTTTTTTTGTTGCTAACTCTAAGTGCTCTAGTGAAATATTTTTCCTTGTGGTATTTTAATAATATCAAAAGTTTCAAGTTCCTATAGCACTACCACTAGCCCAAGTGGAACCTTTATATAATTAAGAAAAGACACCATTTCAATGTTAATTTGCAAAAAGAAATGCTGTAATAAATATAACTATTATGAATAGAGCCCCCAGAATCATACAATGCGTTAATTTATGCAACCACATTTGGCAGCCCCAGTTCTTACAGCAATAGTACAATAAAAACAAACTGTTCTTAGCTTCAAGAGCCTATTTTCTACTTTTTAGCCATGAAAATTAAAGATTTAAACTCCCCCCATCAAGTGCCACGTGATTTTGACATCTGAGGTATATCTCCGAAAGGTTTTGTTTTGATTACGCATCTTTAAGACAGCTAACTAGAGAAAACATTTATATTAACCCTAAATCAATTCCAAATTATGACTAAATTGAATTCTCCCTCTTGCTATAACCAACACCGTTAATGCTTGGCTCTTTCTTTAAAAGGAGACCGAACACTTTTTCCTTCTACACCTATTTGAACGTGTTTATTTAAATAAATATATGATACTTTAGTATTCTTCAGTCCTAAGTACCTTATTAACATTGACTACTACCAAATAATAATTTTAGAAAAACAAACACTCTACTTAAACTTTTACTGAGACACCTTTTTCTGGTTCTTACCTGAGAATGTGTGAAATGAGTTCGCAGCATCTGTCCAATATTCTGGGTATGAGAAAGATCCAAAGCTGCATCTACCTCATCAAGAATATAAATTGGAGCAGGTTTGAAGAGGAGCATGGACAGTATCAATGACAAAGCCACTAAAGATCTAAAAAAAGGTTAATGGAAGAAAAGACATAAAAATTTCATTTTACCACTCTTTAACCAAAACACTGACTCAAATCTATGATCATGCTACTATGGTGAATAGTGTAGATTTATCTGAACGACAGTCATATAAAAAAGAATCTTGAGTTTCAAACTTCAACACTTTCATTGTATTAAAATATTTCTTTTATGTTAGCTTTCCACTTTTCCTCTATTCACAAGCATACTATTTGCATAAGACAATTTTAATACTGTCATATTATGTTCAGCTCCTGTCCTTAAGAAAAGATCATGTTAGTTTTAACAGTTTTTTTCCTTCCCCAATTGCTTATTAGAGCCCTGGAAGCCAGTGAGTGAGGGATATATATTTATTTAGGTGCTCTTTTTCTAACTTTTATTATGCATTTACCCATGTGAACATACACATACACACATACAGTCATGTGTGTGTGCATGTGCGTGTGTGTGTGTGTGTGTGTGTGTGTGCAGGAACCATCTGCAAGTAAATTGTATAGATCATGGCCCATTTACCTTAAGTACTTCAGTGTCAGAAGTTCAAACAATCCTTATCTAAAATTTGTAGTTACACCAACTTCCAGATTCCACAGCTGTTTTCGGTTTACCATCCCCATTAACTGCAGCTGTTTTCATTCTAATCTGGTATGAAGTCATAATTCTTACAATATTTTTTCTTAATAAACATATTTCATTAAAAAGTTCAGTTTAATATAAAATACTTATAATTATTGAACATTATAATAAAAAGTACAATACCATTTGCAACGTACCATAACTTCTACAACATTCTATAACATCCTACAAACATTCTGTAACTTCAAATACCTCCTGGCATGCAGTACTAGAATAAATAGTCAATCCAGCACTTACCGCATTCCAATAGGGTCGCTATGCCTTGCTGTATTCGTGTGTGTGTGTGTATGTTTGTGTGTATGCCTGGGGTTCACAGAATTCAAGTCTGTGGGTTTAAAGAATTCATCAAATCTAGAAAATGTGGGGCCATTATTTCTTCAAATATTTCTCCATCTTCCCTCTTCCTCTCCTTTTGGAACTCCACTGACTCAGGACATTGAAGCTGTTTTGATTTTTTCCATTTTTTATTTTTCAGTTTAGCTTTCTCATCTTTCTTTTACATTATCTAATCTGCTGTCAATCTCGTGCAGTAAACTTCTCACTTCAGGTATATTATTTTTTATCTCTAGAAAGGTATATCTTTTTCTATCTCTAGAAGTTCCACTCTTTTTAAAAAATAGCTTCTATTTCTCTCATTACATTCATGTTTTCTTGTAACTCTTGAAAATAGTTAATGTAATTCTTTAACTTCCTTGTCTTCTTGTTTCATCATCTCTGTCATTTCTGGGTCTGTTTCTACTGACCAATTTTTCTTTTGGTTAGAGTCACATTTTGTTAATTTTTTTTTTTGTAATTTTTATTATATGCTGGACATTGTACTTGTTTAATGTCTCAATTTTGTTGTATTCCTTTAAGGGGCATGTTCTGACAAAAATTAAGTAAAATACAGATCAGCTGATCCCTTCAAAGCCCATTAAGTTTCCTAGGGTGTCTAGAGTAGCCTTCACTTCAGAGGCAGTACAGATCTAATGCTAAGGTACAGTAATCTAGGGCTTCCCAAAATTCTAATTGCTGTCTTCTTAACTTAGTGAGACTACTAATCTGTTTGGGTTCCCCTCCCTGCATAGGAAATCCAGAAACTGACACTAGGGAGAAAGCCAGGGTGAACAAAGTGTTCAGCATTTGTTTCCTCTTTTAGTTAGCACAGTCCTGGACTACTCATTTTCCAATGTATGAAAATAGTTGTTTTTCATATATTTTGTCAGGTTTCCTAGTTGCTTATTCTATTTCTCCTCTGTTGCCTACTATTTTAATCAAATGTTCCTGTCATTTAATATTACATATTAGGCTCCTTAAACTATACAGGTAAAGGTAACTAGCTAAGCAAATCAAAACTGAAATAAAATTGGGAGGTAATGGATGATAATAAAGTAAGAGAAATGAGGAATTATAATATTGCAAAAGGATTACTCACCTCTGACCACCACTAAGTTCAGTTAGGTTTTCTTTCCAGGTATTTCCTAAGGCAACCTTGAACTCAAGACCACTCAAAACAGTTTGCCCCTCTGGTGGTGCAAGCATAGCATTGGCACCAGGCAAAAGAGTAGAAAAGATAGATCCAAAGTCCTTGTTCACCTGGATAATAAAATCATTTTAAAACATCAGAATGCCTTCTAAGAAGAATCAATTGTTGATATTTGTACATGCAACTCAGCAGGTTCACTTTGCTGTCTGTTACTCTAATTCAGGTGTTGGCAAACTACAGCACATGTGAACAATCTGGCCATGCCTATTTATTTACAAATAGTCTACGGATGCTAGTGCTACAAGAGAGTCAAGTAGTTTTAACAGACTGAATGACTCACAAAGCCAGAATATTTACTATCTGGCCCTTTACAGAAATAGTTTACTGAGCCTTGCTTTAACTTCTAGGGGGAACCACAGGATATACCCCTAACTCTGCTCCGAAGTTTTGTGTTAGGTTTGGCAAGATGGAGAAAAGGTAGAAAGAGACCCGAGCCAGGCGCTATTTCAGTCAAAAAGCTTTATTCCATTAACCTGGAGGGGAGACTGAGCCAGATCAGTTCCCCCAAACTAAAGGAAAGCAGAAGGTTTATAAGACTTTCAGGGAGGGTTCAGAGTAATGGGCAATTTCAAAATCAGTGGTATGCAAGGTGACACAGTCCTTGTGGTCCAATAACATCTAGTCGGTTAAGGCATAGGCTCCCAATTAACCACTATATCAGTAGAAAGCATTCTAGCCCAAAGCCTGTTAAACGCAGCCCACAAGACATTCCTTTGAGGATAATGATAATGTTTACCCCTTCCCAGAAGAATTTCAGTGCCCAGAGAAGAAAGGGAAAGGGAGAGGAAAGGTGGAAAAGCCGCTCAACATGGCTGCACTGAAGCTAAGCCAGCCACGAAACCCAATATTTTGATACTTTTGTAAAACGTATTGCAGGAATCCTCAAGACACACACAATTGTATGAGAAGAAAACACAAAATAGTTAGAAAAGCAAACACAAAACAGAAACTCTTTTTTTAGAGTAAAATGTTCTCTTACAAAACGTTTTATTTTCTGCTGATTAATAGGGTAAGATGGGTCTGTGGTTGCCAGCTAAAGGCCCAAGTAGATCAGGGTGAGGTCCAAGAGAAAAAGATGCATAGAATCAAATGACCAGATCTGCTGAAGGTGTTGAAGAGTTCTTTTCCATATGCCTTACCTCATAGACAAAGAGGTTAAGGTGTTGAGAGGCAGGAGTAGGACAGGATCCCAAAAGAAAGAGGCTAAGAAAGCTGTTTGGCCTGCCCCTGTCTTGCCACAGTAGATTACACAGGGATTTAGGGCCAAAATCCTACAAAATCCTAGCTTGTTATAGGGTAATTTTTCTCCATATATATTTGATCAATGTTATAAGAATTTTCCATCTGTCTTCAAAGACATGACTAATAATCTTAGAGAGTTCAGCAGGCAAACTGGAGAGCACATATACAAACACATGTTCACACACACACACACACACACACACACACACACACACACACACACACACAGGTATCTCCACATTTAAGTGCAAGTATACAAAATTCAAATGTAATTCAAATATACTTTTTATGAATACTTATACTAACAAGAAAAATCTCCCAGACACAAGCAGTGCTCCTGATTATAGATTTACTAAGGAACACACATTTTAAGAGCAACTGCCAAATAATACCCTACACAATGGGAGCAGGTTCTAGTTTTATCTGGGATAATTTCCACGCTAGTCAAGGCTCACACAAAATGGGAAAAGAACCACCGTCTTTTTGGTAATGATGGAAAGCAGCACAGTATTTATAAACACCCTAGGTTCTTTTTCTTTTCCCTTTTGGCCAAGCGGGGAAGAAACAGCACAGGACTAAGAAAGTGGAATGGTACAACCATGCACCCCATGTGAAAATTCCTCTAAAAGGGAAAAAACATCAGCTAATGGACAGAGGAGAATATACCTCTATACTTCATATAAATGACATAGCCATGGATTGATATAAAAAAACCAACAAAAAACAAAAACAAAAACAGTGCCTACAAAACTCTGGCTCTGTCAGTCAAGTATGCTTGAAGCCAGAAGGAAGAATATAATGTTGATAATAATAGTACCTATCTCGTTAAGTTATTGTGAAGACTAAATGAGAATATTAATTTGAGAATAGTGACTTATATATAATAAGCACGTGATAGATGTTACTTGCTTTGGAGGAACCTTGGAAATTGGGAAAAAAATAGGATCAGTTTAAAGAATAGACTGATTTGTATTAAATCCAGGAATCATGGGAAGAGGGGGAAGAGAAAAAACCCCTCAAATCCAGTGTTAAATCCACATGTAGAAGAATACGGAAGCCAAGTTTTTGCTTGCATTTTTAAAAAGACAAATATTATAGGGAGATGGAACATTGAAAATGAGCCTTAGAGGAAGAAAAACAAGATGACAGAAAGGGACCCTCAAATCCAGTGTTAAATCCACATGTAGAAGAATACGGAAGCCAAGTTTTTGCTTGCATTTTTAAAAAGACAAATACTATAGGGAGATGGAACATTGAAAATGAGCCTTAGAGGAAGAAAAACAAGATGACAGAAAGGGTAATTGTACTACTGACAATAAAGATCCTACAGAATTAAAAAGAGAAAAAAGAGGCGAGGTGACCAACTGAATCCCAGAAGGCACAGGTTTGCTAAAGTACCAGTTAACTATGATTGGAATTTTTTGAGTCTTTTGATATGGTAGAAATGGAAAAACTTCCACATGAGAAGCTTAGGAACTATCCTAAAGGAGACAGATATATGAAGCCAGGCAAGTAGAAATAACAGTAAAGAAGCTTGAAATCCTGCCAAAGTTGTCATAAAAACAAAATTGGTAACTGGAATTTTGTTGAATAAGAGTATTGTAAAAGAGTATACGATACTCGCTTGTTTATTGCTAGTTCTTAAAGAGATACAAGGGTGAAAGCAATAAGGTTCTAATTCAGCAAAACAGAATCCCAGTTCTTCCATCTTTTGGCTGTATGATGGGAGGCAGACCATTTCATCTTAAGCTTTGGTTTCCTCCCCTATAAAAAGGGGATAATAACTATCAAAGTCACAGATGGTTTTAAGATAATTCATGTAAAATAATTAACAGAAAAACTACTTAAAATATTAGCTAATATTATTATTAATCCAACATGCACAACATGCTAAGAACCTACAGAACAAATAATATTTGTTAATTTAAAAACGCAATTACTAATTTGTAAGTGATAAAGAATACATCAATCTTACTCTAGAAATGTTCTTGGAACTGGTATTTGGCCTCTGTGAGTCCAAGCAAGAAAAACTGAAGATAGTAAAATTGAATGAGTCCTTGGAAGATGGTTTCTGGTTTTCAAGAATTAGAGCTTCCACCATGTGGCACTGAGATTGCTTCTAGTTTTAGGCAGAAGGTTGAGTGGGATATAGCAGATAATGGACAGTACCCAAGGTTTCTTCCAAATATAAGAGCTTGTTGTCTCATAAAAAGAGGATAAATAGTGTCTCTTTTAAAAGTAACACAGACAGTTAACAAGGTAAGAGTAAGAAATGGAGAATGCTAGAAAGTTAGGAATTTAATAGAACTTAAGAACCAGAGTAGGAGACTATGAGAGTATGATGGAGTGACACTTATTTAGCTTTCCAAAACAGTAGTAGTGAAATCCAAAAAGACAAAATATATTTAAGTCTAGGAGGTCTTAATTAAGGTGGGAGTATGTGCCTCATTCAAACACAAATTAGCCATTTCAAATTCCTCATAGAGTATAAATCCATTGACGATACTTTTCATCCTTGCTTCAAACAAAGAGATACTGTTTTGGGGCTCAAATACCTTTTGCCAAGCAATATTTAGGGCTTGGTTTTTCTTCTGGTCAAGGTCTTCTATAGTTGTAAGGATTTTGGATTTGTCATTTTCTACAATTCTCTTCTTCTTCATCAAGTCATTATACTGTGGGATAAAAAGCATACTTAATTAGGAAAATACACTGCAGTTCAGTCAGGAATGAAGAGGTTTCATTATTTTTAAATAGTCATGTGCCACATAACAATGTTTTGGTCAATGACAAACTGCATATGCAACATTGGTCACATAAGATTACAGTGGAGCTGGAAAATTCCTATCACCTAGTGATGTCTTAGCACAATGCATTACTCATGGGTCTGGTGATGCTGGTGTAAACAACCTACTGCAAAATATGTTGGGGAGGAGTGGCTAGCATACCCATGGAATGACCCTCCCATAGGTAGCTCAGAACTTGAAGGCAGAAAGCCAAGTATCTGACACATTAGGTCTGACCCCAAGTGAAAAAGTTGTTGTCTACTTCACTGTTCTTATACTGTCAAATTATTCTCACCCATTCCCATAGCAAAATAATAGATAATAACAGTTAGCTAACACTCACTGAGCACTTGTTGAGTGTCAGGCACAATATCTACCTGTAATTTAATTTTCATAACTTTGTTGTGGTGGTTATTATTCTAACACCCATTTAACAGATGAAAAAAGTGAGGCACAGAGACTTGGTAACATAATTAGAGGGCCCATGCTCATGTGACTAGTGGCCAGTGTTGACAGCAGGAAAATGCATTGCTGTTCTCTTTCATAATACACTTATACAGAACAAAATCAAGAGTACATTTCACAGAATGTATCCCTATCATTAAGTGTCAAGATGACTATATAATATATACCCTCCTATTTACCAAAAAATATAATGCACTAAGAGTTATAATGCAAACCAAGTTATGAGTAAATCTATCATCCATATGTATATGGTAAAATTCAATGACTAGGATTGAGAATTTACAGAACAAGCCCTTGAAATATTTTGACTCCACTAATATTCCCTTATCTTTCTAGCAGCCAAGGCAAAAAACCCAAACACCAAAAAAACCAAAGAACATCATCTCTTCAGAGTGGCCTTCCTTTGGGTGAGGCTACAGAGGGATAAGTATACCATGAATAGCAGTGGAACTTTCCAAAACTCTTCCTGACCCATTTCTCCTCAAAGATTCACCTTTCGGGCCAGCCCGGTGGCGCACTGGATAAGTGCGCCGCTTGGGAAGCGCGGCGGCGCTCCCGCCCGAGGGTTCGGATCCCACATACAGACCAGTTCCCGCTCACTGGCTGAGCGAGGCGTGGGAGCAACACCGAGGGTTGCGATCCCGTTGCCGGTCCCCGGTCCGGTACGGGGGCAACACTGAGGGTTGCGATCCGTTGCCGGACACGGAAAAAGACAAAAAAAAAAAAGAAAAGATTCACCTTTCAAGACAGCTTCATATTCTCCCTTAATGACTCCAGCCAGTCCTGTTAATCTTCTTTGCTGTCCCTCTCCTTTATGGCCAAGCTCCCCAAACAACCTCTCAACATTTTATATTATTAAGTCCATGTAATCCCTTATGTGAACAGACATAAAACATACACACACACACACACACAACAAAAGGCCAGGGGATCCTAAGGCGTGGAGCTGGGGGAAGCGAAACCCAGCCACAACCAGCTAAAGAGCACACCAAAAACCATTTCCAGGCAGGTAGCCCACCACAGCCACCGCGATTGCCACAGCTGCCAGAAAAGTGGCTAGTCGCTATAGCAGTAGTCACAGCCACTGTGCAGACGGTACGCCAGACTCTCAACTGCACTGACTCAAGGAGAGGTACCAGCAGAGAACAAAAAAAAAAAAGAAAAAGAAGAGGTCCTCTCTCTCCACAAAGCACACTCCAGAATAACAGCAAAAGCATCTGTTTTACGATAATACGGGAAGATTTGGTCACACTTGTCTCAGTACTGGACAGGAAATCTATGCAACAAATCAACAGAAGAATTAATCTATCAGAAGGAGAGAACAAATCTATGGTTATTAGAGGGGGGGCAGGGGAGGAGGAAGGGGAGAGATTGGATAAGGGGCATAAAGAATAAGTATGATTTGTTAATAATGAATATATTAATAAAAAAAGGCCATCTGCTGATCAACAATAGAGCCCTTGTCTCTGGTTAAAAAAAAAAAGGAAGATGATGAATTCTTTTTAAAAAAATATAGACCCAGTTATCATTATTAATACAAGTAAACAAGTAAATGTGAACAAGTTTCACGATGCTATGCAGCTGAAATACAGACTAAAGATTTCCTTCCACAAACATGCCATATATTGCAAAACTTTAATGTAGAATTGAAAACTGGCAGCATTTTATAGATAGATCACAACACCTGCATTTTTAGCCTGTTTCTTATCTAACATAATATAGACTCTTCATGCGTACTAATGTCAATAATGGTTTTTTAAAAAACCCATGACGAAAAAAATTCCTTAAAAGTAATTAAGCTCATGAGCATTATCAGTTTTACAGATCTCTCATTAACTCTAATGCTAATATGCAAATTCAAATAAATAAATATACAAACAAATAAATGGTGTCAGGGGAAAGAAGACACAACAATCACAACAATTCCTTGAACCTGTTAAGTGAACAGATACGATGGACATGGGGGGGGAGGGGAGAGAGGGAATGGGGAAAGAGGAACGGGTAAAGGGACACAAAAATCCACTAAAATGTATATTGAGAAGTTAACTGTTAAGTGAACAGATACGATGGACATGGGGGGGGAGGGGAGAGAGGGACTGGGGAAAGAGGAACGGGTAAAGGGACACAAAAATCCACTAAAATGTATATTGAGAAGTTAAAATAAAAATAAATAAAAACAACAACAACAAAACAAATAGAATTTTGCAGAATTAAAGAAGGTATGGGGGATTAATAAAAATTTGCTAAGATTTCTATTTCCTATGTGCCTCCAAAAGTAGGAAATGCTTCCCCCACTGGACTTTTTTTTAGTGACAAGGCCTCCAAAGTTCATCACTAGACACTAAAATCCCTTTTCTAATCTATAAGAGTTTTGGTAGGGTAGGGGAGATGTATAACATTGTCAAATAATCGGCAGCATGGACATCGAGAAGATGCTATTGGATTTACAGACTAAACTGTGCTTACTATAGTATAAAACAGATTTAGTTGTAACTTATGTAATAGTTTCAGTATACATTAGAGTCAAAAGGGAAACAGCAGTTACGGAGTGACTGGTGAGGAAGCAGAGAGCAGCACACCGTATTTTTCAAGGGTTCTGAAGGCAAGTAAAAATAATAGAAATGTAAGGAATTATACGGATCCAAAAGTGCTGTTTTTATTTACATTAAGAATAAAAAAAGAACAGAACATGTTTATGGCAAAGAGCAAAAGCCAAGGGAAAAGTCATTCAAGGTACAACAGAATATAAAAAACTGATAATGCAAAAAGAACGAAATAATAAGAAAAGAAAGAAATGAAGAAAAGGGATGAAAAAGAAAGGAGAAAGAAAACAAGTACCAAGGACATCAAGCAAAAGGCTGACTCTAATAACTGCACCAGGGGTCATATAGAGCCATCAATGCCACTCATGTTCTCATGTGGCCAGACATTCATAGGAAATTGACCTACCCGATCTTCCGCTTCTGTCAGTACATTCATAGCTCTCATATTGACATTTCTTCCTAGTTTCTCCTTCATTTCTTGCAGCTTCTGAAGTCTCTGGCCAGCTTCTTTTGGATTGTTAGTTTTGAAATCATAGGCACTATTGGGTTGACCAAAGAGGTGTTTCTCTGCATTAATCCAGTCATAATCTTTCAACATTTTGGATACCTAGCCACATATGAAAACAGAAGGATCTATGATTGTTTGACACATCAACATTTGTTAACTAGTTTAAACCAAATATTTTGTGGGAAAAAACCCACAAAGACTCATTTGAAAAAATGAAATTCACTACTGACAGGAATAAGGATGGGAATTTTTACCTGGAGCACAGGCTCAAGAAAAAAGAGATTGTATGGAAAAAGATATTCCTATTACTTAAGCATTCCAGAAAAGAAGCCAAGTCACAGAGAAATTTTTACAAACTATATGCAAAACATCTCAATTAGAATGAAATGTAAGTCAGATGAGCTTCCTTTAGATTTTACCAAATTCAAACTACTGCTTCAAAGAACAACTTGTAAGAAATTAAAATTCTTCCAATACTTAAGTCATACTTTGGTAAAATCATGGAAGACTAATCATGACTGATATTTAATCATTTTTCTTTCAGAATTAAAATCTAAGGAAAAAAATGTCCTAAACATTGACTTTATCTTTGCTCCCACCCCTTTCTAACAAAGGCACTGTATAATACTTGTTCATATAATGTAACTGACTTAAAAGTTCAAATTATAGTGCTGAAAGAAGACTTTCTTCTACTAGAATTGTTCATTCTGACTGGTCGAATCTAATCCTTGTCAATTTGTTTACTAATTAATTCAAGAGGTATGGTCCCCAAAGTAAAATGATCATATATGTCTATTTTTCCTGTTGACCTGTAAGCTCTGTGATAGCATCCTGTGACCGTGTTGCTTATTTTTATATCTTTGGTGCCTGGCATAGTACCTGATACTAGTAGGTATGCAATAAATACTTAACATACTACATTTTTCAAAGAATCCTTGACTTTTTAGCAGTTCTACCTGCAAGTCCTTCCTTTTTTACCCCCTTAATAGCAAATAAAATCCCCTAGCAATCACCCATACTGGTATTTTCAATTACCAAAAAACTATTAGCAGTAATACTGGCACTGGTAATATCTCAGTGAGTTCACTAACACTAAGCTACGAGGCTAATGGAAAATCAATAGTAATAAAATAAAGTGGGAAATTATAATGTAGCTATAAAAATGTTTTTTAAACCAAGTAATGCACCTAAACAGGCATCCATGGTTCTTTCAGACGTTGGGGAAACTATCTTGTATTTTCCTGGTGATCTTTTTCAAGTGAAAGTTCTTGTAATATTAGGATGCTTTAAAGATCCTGGGCATTAAAAGGGACCAAACAGTAACACACACATAAGAAAGTATTATGGATGAATTATTAAGGCAAAAAGAATACCCCTCTCAACCAAGGAATGAATTTGCACAAAAGCATGTGTTCTCTTTAAAGTACTTAAGTAAAGGCACCATGATACATGAAAGGGAGAAATTTTAAAAGTGACCAAAAAACACTGGCATAACCTCAAGAAGGTAACTATTTGGCAAAAGATCAGATTTTCGATAAAATTGCAAAAAGTCATGCTCCCATAAGAATATCCGGAAACCAATTAAGTCCTTTTTTTAAGCTGCCTGTATTGATGAGGGGTCTTCAAAAAGTTTGTGGAAATACAGTTAAAGATAATACAAGGGCCAAGCCATGGCTCACTCGGGAGAGTGTGGTGCTGATAACAAGGCCACGGGTTCGGATCCCTATATAGGTATAGCGGGTTAGCTCACTTGGGAGAACATGGTGCTGACAACACCAAGTCAAGGGTTAAGATCCCCTTACCAGTCATCTTTAAATACAAAAGATAATACAAATCTTACCACAAACTTTCTGAAGATCCCTCATATATTCGAGTTCCTTAAATTCAATTTAAAATAAGGTAAGGAATATATATTATTATTGCTAATACATTTATGCCATTTGTTGAAAATGAGCATTGTTGAGAAGCAGTTAACATAGCTGCAAGCTCAAAATTATGTTAGGCTGTATGTAGCTCTGCCATTTATACTGAGTTCTCCATCGAGCAACTGTTTATCAGAATTTCTCAACAGCCCAGAAATAAAAAATTAATTATTAGGGGTAAAAATGAGCACAAACATGCCTTTGCAGCACTATCTTCAGTTTCCCGTTTATGCTTGTTGATGTTGTGCTCCAATTCCTTAATTTTAAGCTGAGAATCATTGTTTTGCTCCTTATGTTTTGCCACTTCTGCATATTTAGCTTTAATTACACTGTCTTGAGTTGTTATCACTTCTTTTTGTTTGGTCACCTTTTCTTGAGCTTTATTTACTGACTCCTGAAACAAAAAAATTAGAAGAGAATATATAAGGTAATAGGTAAATATTTTTAGTTTACTAAGATTGTCTGACAGACTTCTGGGTAAGATGGCAAAGTGATTACAGGTAGATGGTCCCCTAATCCTATACACTTCATATCACCATTAAAATGACTAATGAATTTACACACAGAAAACTTGGATTACCACTTGAAAAAAAGGCTTGGGATGTGATATTCATGTTGGAAATAATAGAGTTTCTGGTAGACGCAGTGCAGATGGGATCAACTGAGTGGAAAGATGAGGAATTACTGGAAGCTAACCTGTGAGACCACTCAGAAAAATGGTAACTTACTGTTAACAAGAAGATAATCTGACCGACCCCCGATGACATTTACCCAGGAAGGGCAAACATTAGGCATAGAAATAAGGGAGGCTGGGTTTTGCTCCTTTTACCTTCTGTAGATTTAAGGCATCTGTACTTTACCAATGGCGACAGGTCCTAGCATTTGGTTGTATGGTCAACCAGAGAAATAGAAGTGGTCAAAACAGAAAAATGGAAGAGGAAGAGAACCTTTTTTTGAAGGATCAGATCTGTGGCACAAAGAAAAAGTTCTTGCTGTGGCTTTCACTACCCCCTGCCTCCCAAGGCTGAGGCTACTTGATGCCCAAGGTGCTAGTAACAGTTGGAGTCTGTTATCATCATTCCCAAAACCCGTTGCTCTCCTAGATCTCTAGGGTACTTTTTAAAGAAACGGTCTCAAACTCACATAAATGTCGAAAAAAAAGAAAACCTATCTCAACTCATATTTAGGTTGGAAGAAAACAAAGAAGTAGAACAACTTGCTACAAGACTCTAAGGAAGAAAAGGAATAAGAATAGGAATAAGTAATTACAAGCACTACAAGCACCAGTAAAAATCCGTTTTTTTTTTTTCTGGCATGCTCATCAGGAAACATAACAATTTTGAGCAGCAAATGATGTTCTACATTATGTTACATTGCTGAATGTGCCCAAAGTGCTTTGATTTCCTTATAATACCATTTGTGTCATTAGAGGTCTTTTGCAGGAGAAAGACAAATCATGGCATTTGTTTAAAAAACTGAAAGATATTTTAGCTTTTTAAAACCTTTGAAAAACAAAAAAAGGAAAGTGAAAAATACTCCAGCGACGTTAACTAAAAGGAAAAACAGCAGACATAGGTTTATTAACACCATACTTGACAAAGTTTATGAAGAAGATTCTCTCATACCTAGAGGTTAAATAAAGATTGAGTTGCAGATGTGCCTATCAGTCTTTTTTACAATGGCATAAAAATACACAGATGTTCTATCACTTAAGATTGAGTAGAAATAAAGTTTTAGTCTTGTTCGCCTCAACCCAATTAGTAAGCAGTTTCTCTTCTTGGGAGTGTACTTATCTATTCCTAACAGCAAAATGAAATAATTTAGAATGTGAATGAACAACCTTAAAAACTATGTGGTCAGAAGTAGGAGGAGGCATTATAAAAAAAGAAAAAGAAAAAAAGAAAGAAAAAATCTAAGTTATTCATTTTATAGTTTTCTGTTATTAGAAATAGATACCCTCTTTACAGAAATATGTATGTGTTTTAATTTTGTTTATTTGGACCAAGGAAGAAGTAGCTTACTTTTGCATTTCCCTTTGGAAACACATTACCTAACTTCTAATTCATTTAAATTCTACAACATGATGTCCATGAAGGACAGCAACAGATATGGAGGAAAAGAATGAGATGAAAAAATTTATGCAAGTAAAGTAAATCAGAAGGAAACTAAAAATATTTTTAAAAACTAAAGTTTACTTTGGAGGCAAAAGAGGAACTGAACATAAACTCCAGAAAATTACATCAGCAATATAAGACACAAAGTTGAGAAGTGTTTTGCTCTTTTATCATAAAACGGGTAGTTATTATTCTGATAATGATGCAATAAATGTGTTAAAAACAAAAATAGAATGAACGTAACCAAGAATAAAATGAAGAGGAAAAGATGTACTTTACAAAGCACTGCATGTTTCGAATGATGAAAACAATCATCTCAAGGGAAAAACATAACAGAAAATAGAGAAGTGGATGATAAAAGCAAGGCAAAACGCTCTTTACTACAATGTAGAAAAATGAACTTCTCTTCTAAAAGCTAAACGTTCAATTAATATGAAACTCAATGATATGTACTACTTATAAAAAACAGAGTTTATAGCAAAGTGACAAAACTTGAAAAATGAAAGTTACATCACAAAAGGAAAGTAGGAATAGAAATAATATGTAATAAAACAGAATTCAAGGTAAAAAAAAAAAACACAGAAAGAGATGATTTATTCAATATTCATGAAGGGTAGTCTCTAATAAAGATGATATCCCATTAATTTGCAGGTAACAGAATGTCTTCATAACATTTGGAAACCCTCTCATTCCCAAATCCACCCTTCAGTGCCCTGCTTCTGGTAATGGAACATTTCTTCCTTGCCAGCTGCAACAAAAATAAGTCTCATTAGTAAATGTCACTTTAGGGATACTACAGGAGGAAGGGGCTTTACTTCCTGGTTCTGGCATGTTTTTCTTGAAAGTAAGCTTGTCATGTGCAAGGGGTTAGCAACTTGCATGGCTTCTCGTGACATCCCAGAGTGAGGCTTCACACCATGTTCCCACAGACCAGACACCACACAATTGCGTTTCTCCTGGCATTCCAGAAGGTTATTTCCCAGCAAGTATCACATACATAGCACTTCCCTGCAGATAGCTTCTCCTTGCACTCCCGCAAACTTCATAACCAATGGGCCACAGGTAATGCCTTCTGCAATTAGATCTGATTCTCAGCCCTGTGGTTGGAGTAGGGCTCCTTGCCAGATTTGTGTACCCTTTTCATGCATGTACTGCTTCAGCACTAGGGGTAATGGCTATTCCCTATATCTGCTATTACATTCTTTAGAGTTCTCTTTTCCCTTAGTGATCAATTACCATCGTTCCAAACTCCTATTATAGTTAATAAATTTTATTTAAACTTTCCCTGTTCAAATTACTGTGTGCTTTTTGTCTTCTGAGTAGACCTGAACTAAAGCAATTGGTGGTATTATTTCAAGACTCTTTCTGGAATCAGTAATCACTATTTTTGCCTCATGCTCTCTTCATGACAAGAGTGAAAAGATCGAGAGCACTGACATCAAACACCTTAAGACAACAATTCATAAACAAATTAGTATTTTCAATTTCTCCAATTTTACAATAAATCTTACCATATTTTTAGCCACCTCTGCTGCCATTACTTCAATTTGACCTTCATAGGATTTGATAGCTTCATTTACAGCTTCAAGTTGTTGTTTATAGGATGCATGCTCTTTCTTGAGTTCTTCCAGCTCCAGAGTGATAGCTTCAACTTCCTATAAGAAACACAATAGCTGGGTGTTCACACAGGTTATTAACTACTGAAAAATAAATACATACAGGGCAACAAAATTAATATTCTCATGCAAGGAAGACCCACAGCTTAGTTACCACTCCACCAAAAATATGTTAAGCTGCTTCCACAGGAGGAGAAAAAGGAAGTTTATTTTCCTATACTGAAATCAAAAAGATAAATGTAAGCATAATTTTTATGAGTTCAAAGAACTCTCCGTAAGTTATTTCCTGTACAATTTATTTCTATAGGAAAAACAATGTAAAATTCTACATAACTGATAAATTAGTGGAGGCAAAGCTTTTTTTAAAGCCAAATTATTCAATGTGCAAAAAATTTTCTCAATTTTCTTCTTTCCCATTATAGCATTTAGTTCATTAGAAAATACATTGTGCAGCTACTTAATGATACAATCTTAAGATGGGTTTTAAAAAACTGAGGAAAAGTAAATTTAGGTGAAACTGTATAGAACGAAAAGAGCACAGCCTTTGGAGACAAAAACCTGGGTTCAAATTCCAGCTTTGGCACTATCCAAAAGATATTATAAGGTATCGCCAGTCTATAACTGAACCACACCTTGTAAACATAACATGGTTTGTCTTACATTATTCTATTCACAGTATACATTCACATAGGTGGTTACCAAATAGGTTCAAATTCCAGCTTTGGCACTATCCAAAAGATATTATAAGGTATCGCCAGTCTATAACTGAACCACACCTTGTAAACCTAACATGGTTTGTCTTACATTATTCTATTCACAGTATACATTCACATAGGTGGTTACCAAATGTCAACTCATTGCATCTCTGATATGACATAGCTCCACTACAACACATAATCCACTTCTGAAAGAAGGTCGTCTATCCCTGAACAAAGCATTTACCAAAAGGCAACTTTGCTCTTTCCCTAAAATTAGCAAGCCAATGAAACTCATACTCATGACTATGTGAAACTCAATTACAGGGTTTTCAGAGAATCGCACATTTATTTGACTTGTGAAACTTGTAAGATGTGTAATTGATTTTCTAAAGAACACAACTTGCTTTTAGATTTTGAGATCAATACGAATAAGGCTAACCAATGATGCTCTACCACCTTCAGTTCTACACTGATTTTAAAAGACCGGTTCCATTCAAGAAAGGTTTATTACCTGCTGTTTTTCTTTCATTTTTTTGCTAGATGCATCTGCCTTTGTTTTGGCACAATCCAATTTTTTCTGAGCATCCTTTAGCTCTCTCTCTCTTTCAGCTTCTGCATTTTTCATTTTATTCTCCAATACTTCATATTTTTCTTCTGCTTTTTTTTGGATCTCCTTAGTGTTTTTTAAGGTCTCTTCACTTTCCTCTGCATCATAAAATAGGCAAATGTGGCTAAATTAACAGTTACAGATCAAGGCTTATAAATTCAACTTTTAATAGAAGAAGTGGTCTAGAAAATTAGAGGACAGAGTCTAAAAAAATTAACTATTCCAACCATGTTCTAGAAATTTTATACTTGAAACACAGATCCTGTGTAAGAGCAATACCTCAAATATCTAAAGATCTATAAAGAAATTATTTCTAATGATACAAAATTGAGTAACAAACTTTACCTAGAACTTACCTATTTTTAAAAACAATTTGAAGCAACTTATTAAAAAGATTACAGTTTATATATTTAACATACCTATATGCTTCCTAAAACTAGAACTCACAGTACTGGTGAACAACCCTTATCCAAAATGCCTAGGATTAGAACTGTTTCAGATTTCTTAGGATTTTAGAATATTTGCAGAATACATACTAGTTGAGAATCCCTGATCCAAAAATCCAGAATTAAAAATGCTCATAAATCCAAAACTTTGAGCATCAAGATGACGCTCAAAGGAAATGCTCATTGGAGGATTTTGAATTTCAGATTTCGGATTAGGGATGCTCAACCTGTATAACCATGATAGTTTTCATTAATTTTATTTGCTAGAAAGCTTACAATTAAATTCATAAACAAGCTTACTTTGTGTTCTTTGCCAATTTATACATATTCAAGAAACCTCTCACGAAAGGAGAGAAATACTGGGAGAACATGTCTAGGATGAAGCATTAGAAAAGTATTATCTGCAAATTCATGAAAGAAAAAAATTAAAGTGCAAGATAAAATAGACATTTTGCTGTCACAACTGACATACACTGTTAGTGCTAGGACCTAAGTCCATATACAACCTCGGAAGCCATGACTGCACTATTTCTTACACTAGTTCTCACTGCAGAATAAAAATATTAGTGGGGAAACTGGTGTGTGGATACTGTCCTAAGGAATGACAAAACCAAAAATTACCATATACAATTAAATCCTGATAAAATAGTCGATAGCTTCTTAAAATTGGGAAGATAGCTATTAATTTAATTACATTAAACATTAAAAACTTTTGTGTAACAAAAATAGAATAGACAGACAAAATTAAAAGACAAACATAAAAGAAATGCAGTACACACAACCTAAAAGAAATTAGAACTCTTAATTAAATATGAGAACAATGGGAAAAAAACTGAACATACAAAAAAAAAATTTCCAAATTTCACCAAGCAGGAAAATGAAAATTAAAATGCTAATGTGCTATTTCTTTACAGCCATCAGACTGGAGAATTTTTAAAGTGTGGAAAGAAAAGAATGTGGAGAAATAAAAACATTCTAATGCCACTGTTGGAAATGAGTATTATTAAAAATGGACAGAACTTTGGCAATATATAATAAAGATGACCATACCCTAAGACCCAGAAATCCCATACTTAGATTTACCCTAAAGAAACTCTCCCACACGTGTCTTAAATATAACAGTCTTCTAAATACATAAAGGATATCAACAGAAACAGATTAAGCACAAAATGTTTTAATCTTACCAATAGTTTTTTTAAGGGCATCTAATTCTTCTTGTTGCTTGTGATATGAGCTTTGCTGGAGCTTGGTTTGTAATAAATCTGCCTCCTCAGTTTTCATCTCCCACTGCTGTTTTAGCAGGCGATATCTTACAAAAAGAGAAGTTTATAGTAAATGACAGCAAATTTTCTGTCATTTGAGACATCAGGCTCTTAACCTAAATTAAACTCACATACAATATAAACAATATGAGATGCCACTGGCTACAGGAATAATTTTGATGACTCTGAAGTTTCTGAGGTATCCATTAATTCAAGTCTGACTTGGTCACTGAAGGTAAACAACTCTAAATGACCAATTTAAAAAAACTATTCACAGAAATATTTTTAATTTTAGAAAACACTAAAAATAATTTTTGAATAGGTGTCCTTAAACATAATCCCTCCTGCTAATTCTTTTTTTTTTTTTTTTGGCTTTTGTCTTTTTCCGTGTCCGGCAACGGATCTCAACCCTCACTGTTGCCCCCGTACCGGACCGGGGACCGGCAACGGGATCGCAACCCTCGGTGTTGCTCCCGCGCCTCGCTCAGCCAGTGAGCGGGAACCGGTCTGTATGTGGGATCCGAACCCTCGGGCGGGAGCGCCACCGCGCTTCCCAAGCGGCGCACTATCCAGTGCGCCACTGGGCCGGCCCCCTCCTGCTAATTCTTAACTAAAAGATAAATTCCACAACTACTTACCGCATAAACAGATTAATTATAGCAATCACATAAAATTCAAAAAACTGGTTATCTACTTATTAATCCCTATTTCAAATGTT